CACCCCATCTACTTGTCTATCTTGATGCCAATACTACAGTGAATGATTTTTGTAGCTTTATAATAATTCTGTGTTCATGAGGGTATTGGCCTCAAGTTTTCTTTATTTGGTTTTAGTATCACAGTAATGCTGGTTTTAAGGATTGATTGGGAAGCATCACTCTCTCTCCAATTTTCTGGAAGAATTGGTGTAGAATTGTTAGCATTTCTTTCTTCAGTGTTTGGTAGAGTTCCAGTGAAGTCATCTGGGCCTGGACTGTTGTTTGTGGGAGGCTTTTGAAACTACAAATTCAATTTCTTTAATAAATATAGAAATAATCAGGCTATTGACTTCTTCTGGAGTGAGCTTTAGTAGCCCGTGTCTTCTGAAGAATTTGTGCATTTCATCTAAGTTGTTGAGTTTATAGGTATAACATTTTTCATAAAGTTTCCTTATAATCTTTTTAGTATCTGTGGAAACCATAGGGATGTTACCCCTCTCATTCTTTTTTTTTAAAGTTTATTTATTTATTTATTTATTTTTTTAGTAATCTCTACACACCCAAGGTGGGGCATAACGTCATGATCCTGAGATCAACAGTCACATGCTCTTCCAACTGAGCCAGCCTAGCGCCCCATCTCTCGGTCTTGATATTGGTAATTTGTGTACTCTCTCTTTTTTCTTGACTGACTGTGTGGCTAAGAGTTTATAAATTTTACTGATTTTCCAAAGAACCAGCTTTCGGTTTTATTGGTTTTCTCCTAGTTTTCCATTTTCTATTTTTGATTTCTGCTCTGTTCTTTACTTTTTCCTTTCTTCTGGTTGCTTTGGGTTTCCCTCGTTCTTCTTGTTCTAATTCTTAAGATCACTGAGTTGAAACTTCTCTTCTGTCCTAATATAAGCATTTTAGTGCTATAAATTTCCCCCTAAGCACTGTTTTGGCTGCATCCACAAATTCTGTATGTTGTGCTTTCATGTTCATTCAGTTTAGAATCGTCTCTCATTTTCTTTTACTTCTTCTTTGATAACATGTTATTCACAAGTGTATCCTTTTGTTTCCAAATATTTGGGCTTTTCCAGACATCATTTTGTTATTATCAATATAATTCCAGTAAGAACACATTTTGTATGACTTGACTAATTTTAAATTTACTGAGACAATTTATAGCCCAGGTTATGATGCATCTTGTTAAGTGTTCCCTTTGCATTTGAAAAGAATGTGTATCCTGCTGTTTTGGGATGGAGTGTTCTATAAATGTCAGTTAACTCAGATTGTTTTATAATGCGGTTCAGTCTTCTACATACTTAGTGATGTTCTGCCTACTTGTCTTACCAGTTATTGAAAGAGGAGTGTTGAAATCTGAAACTATAGCTGTGGACTTATCTCTCCATCCTTACTATTTTATGAGTTTTTGTGTCATGTATTTTAAAGCTCTCTTATTGGGTGAATAAACATTTAGGATTGTTATATTATCTCATTTAAAAATGCTTTGAAGATGTTTCTCCACTATCTTTTGGCTTACATAATTTTTCAATGGGAAATCTGCTGTCAAATTTATCTTCCTTTATATCTAATATTTCCCTTTTCTTCTGGTTGGTTTTTTTTTTTAAGATTTTATTTATTTATTTGAGAGACAGAGAATGAGAGAGAGCAAGCACATGAGAGGGGGGAGGGTCAGAGGGAGAAGCAGACTCCCTGCCGAGCAGGGAGCCCGATGCGGGACTCGATTCAGGGACTCCAGGATCATGACCTGAGCCGAAGGCAGTCGCTTAACCAACTGAGCCACCCAGGCGCCCTTCTGGTTGTTTTTAAGATCTTTTCTTTATTACTGATTTTATGCAATTGGAATATGATGCACTTTGGTGTAGTTTTCTTCATGTTTCTTGTGCTTGGGGTTCACTGAGATTTTTGGATCCATAGGTTCATAGTTTTCATCATATTTGGAAAAATGCAACCATTATTTCTTCAAATACTCTTTCTGTCCCCTACTTCCTTTAGAGTCTCTAACACATATTTAGTAGGCCACTTGAGGTTTTCCCATAGCTGATTGATGCTCTGTTTATCTTTTCTCAGTCTTTTACATTTTTGTGTATAATTTTGGATAGTTTCTGTTGCTGTATATTAAGTTCTTTAATTTTTTTCAGTGTCTTACCTGCCATGAATCCCATCCGGTCTACATTTTTCATCCTAGACATTGCAGTTTTCATCTCTAAAAGTTCAACACGGATCTTTGAAAATATTTTTCATGCTTCTACTTCACACATTCAATCTTTCCTCTATTTGACCACATAGTGGAGTTATACTATCTTTACTATCCTGGTGTACTAATCCCGTCATCTGTCTTTTCTGGTTAGGTTTCAAATAGTTGATTCACATTATAAATGGTGTTTTCCTGCTTTCATGCTTGGTAATTTTAAAAATTTTATTGAAATACAGTTGAGATACAGTGTCATATTAGTTTCAGGTGATCCCACAGTTCTATATATTATTCTGTGCTCACCACGATAACTGTAGTTACTATCTGTCAGCTTGGTAGTTTTTTATTGCAGGCCAGAAGTTGTGAATTTTACTTTGTTTAGTATTGGATATTTTGTGATCTTATAAATATGCTTGAACTTGTTTTGGGACCTGGTTAAATTACCTGGAAACAGTTTAATATTTTCATGTGTTGTATTTAAGCTTTGCGATGCAGGACCATAGCATCATTTGGTCTAGGGCTAATTTTTTCTCCCTTTTTTACCTCTTACTGAGGCAGAACCTTCTGCATACTGTACCAGATGCTCCATGAATTATGAGGTTTTTTACTCAGGTTGGTGGGAACAGGCACCGTTCTTGGCCTTGTGTGAGCTCCAGGGATATTTTCTCTTGAGGCCATGTACATATACTCACGTACATGTATGTCCTCATGAACATACTCTTCAGTACTCAGCCAAATACTCAAGATCTTTGGAGTTCTCGCTCTGTGTAGCTTTCTCATCTTTGGTGCTCTCCTCTGAAAACTCCAGCCACTTTGCCCTCCTTAGACTTCTAGCTCCTTCTCAACTTGAGGAGGCCTCCATGCTCCATCGGAGTACTTTCCTACTGCATGGTGGCATGGAAGCTTTCTCAGAGAGTAAGCTGGAGGCAACCTTGGGTTCCATGTCATTTGTCTCTCATCTCTCAGGGATTACTGTCCTTTGTTGCCTATTGTCCAATGTCTTGTCAGCCATTGTTCCATGTAGTTTGCCCAGATTTTTCATGGGCAAGTAAGTCCAGTCCCTATCACTGTTTTGATAGAAGGTGCCCAAAGTATTAAATTTGCTATTGTGTATGTGGTCATCTATTCCATTATATCTTCTAACTGGTTTTTGTTTGCTTATATGAAGGTCATTGATTTCTGTTTATTGATTTTATAACTTGCCACATTACTAAAGTATCATTGATTTCTGTTTATTGATTTTATAACTTGCCACATTACTAAAGTATCTTATAGTTTGTAATAGCTTAACCTTGAGTCCATTAAGTTTTCCAGATACCATATCATTTACAAAGAGAGATAGTTTTTCTACTTCCTTTATAATTTGTATGCTTTCTATTGTTTTCTCCTTTCTGAAAGCATTGGCTAATATTTCAATATAATCTTAAATAATATTAGAAATGGTAGGCATGAGTTTGAAGACTGATGTTCTAGTGATTCAATCTTTTTGAGATGCCCTCTTAAAGCCCTCAGTCCTCCTGTTCTGGAATGGCCTAGTGGTTATTCCTATGCCTTCTGCACAGCTCTTATCTTGGAGTCTCCAGTCCCCTTTTCTGGTTCCCATTCTTACTTTTCTTTGCTTAACTTTTATCTTGGTTAAAACAGAAAGATTACACTGAAAGGTAGCTCTTGGTGATGTCACAAATTCAACAGATTAGCTGGGTCTAGAATTTTAATTTGGACATCATTTTCCTTAAGAATTTTGAAGGTACCACTCCTTGTCTTCTAGCATCTAATGTTGCCTGTATACATCTCATGCTGATCTCGTTCAAATGGTTCTCATACAACTTGCTTTTTATTTTAAATTCTTGAAAATCATATGACTTTCTCTTTGTCTCAGAAGACTGCCTACCAGTTCCCTTCGCTTTTCTGTGGCCTGGAGGCACTAAAATTTTAATTCAAAAATCCTGTTGATGTATGTTTCTATTCTGTTCTGTTTGAGTAAGTTACCACACTCAATTTTTACAGAGAAAACAACATGATCATTAAGTCATCAGTATGAACAGGCCTGAACTAACTGCTCTGCTTCCCACGCTTTCCTGTATGGATGCTATTTAGAGTCTTGTGGGCTTTGTCTTCAGCCATGATTTTATCAGCCAGGACCAAATCCAAAAATATACAGGTCTTAAAGAATCAAGGGCAAATTTTGAGAAATATAAGGATTACATATTCCACATCCCCAAATGTGATTTTTATAATTTTCTGCCTCAGTAATTCTTTCATTCCTTGTTTCTGTGAATCTGTGGTTTCATGCCTTTAAGATTATGTTTTTAGGTCTAATTGGTTTTAATATCCTGAATAGTGACAATATACACTAATACAGTAATTAGGTTACAGGTGCTCTTCTAAGTGTTTTACATTTATAAACTCATTTACGTTTGTACTCCTCATAACAAATCTACGAGGTGAGTACAATTATTATTCCTATCTTATGGATGAGAAAATGGAGGCACAGAGAATTTAAGAAAGTCACTAAAGTCACACAGCTTGAAAATGGCAGAGTTAGAAGTTGAATCCAGGCCGTTTGGCCCTGGTGCCTGTAATTTTACTCACTCTGCTTTCTGGTCTATTTTGTGGCCTTTGAAAATATAAGATTCTAACTCTCTTGCTAGGGGCCCTGGGATTCTATTCCACTCTGCTCCCATGCTGTGATTTCTCACTACCCCATCTTCTATCCTCAACTTAACACAAGGGCTGACAAAGGGGGAGCCTTGGGCTGAGAGCCTGGAGCTTGTAATCTGTCTTTAGAACAACCAGGCTGGGTTTTCAGGGATCTGGACTTACCACGTACAAACATCCTGGTGCCTGGTCCAGACTTAAACTCCACGTCAGGGTTCCCTTTCTGGAACTTCACACAGTAGTAGGTACCGGCGTCTGCTGGGGTGATGTTACTGATGCGGATGGAAAAGTCCGTGTTGTTTCTCCTTGTGGTATCTGCAACATTTGTCACTCGGGGGTAGCGGCCTCCTCTGAAACTGAAGATTAACTCCCGGGCTGGCCCTGTTCCCCTGAACCACTCAACCGGCCCAAGGGGGAGCAGGGAGGTCACACTGCAGTGCAGAGTGACTGTCTGTCCAGCTGCGACAGACATTGACTTCTCAGGCTGGATCACCTTCAGCTCCGCCTCACCTGCCACACCTGGAGGGAAACACAAGTCAGCTCCATGTGTCCCCTGCCTGGCCCAGGGGACTTCTCTTAACGGTTTTGTTGTGAGACTGAAACTGGAAGCCGTTGAAAAACACTCAGGATTGTGCCTGAAGGGCCTGGAATGTGTGGACCTGGAGTCAGGCTGATGTGGGCTCGAGGCCCGACTCCAGCTCAGACAAGCCTGCTGCTGTTTGGGGGAAGCCCCTCCTCCCTCCTCTGCTTTTGGTGGTTTCCTCTGTCAAGCAGGATGGATCAAGCCTTTCCCCATCAGTGCTGTGAGTTTTCAAGGAAGACATTGGTTGTCAAGGACATGCAGTGAGTGCTGTAATGGCCAGACTCAGCAGGACCGTTTTTTAGGTGTTCGTATTTGCATTCACTAAACCCTAGAAGGACTCGACAGGGAGTTTCCATAGACACTTCTGTGTACCAGACATCACTCTAAGCACTTAAATACATTAACTGATTCATTCAATTTCCACCACTGCTCTGTGAGAAAGGCATTATTATTATTAATCTCTGTTTCCAGACAAGAAAATGGAGGCACAGAGAAATTCATAACTTGTTCTAAGCCAAATAGGGTATAAATGATGAACTTGAATTTGAACTCTGTCAGATCTGTTTCAAAAAGTATCTGTGCTGGGCGCCTGGGTGGCTCAGATGGTTAAGCGTCTGCCTTCGGCTCAGGTCATGATCCCAGGGTCCTGGGATCGAGTCCCGCATCGGGCTTCCCGCTCCTTGGGAGCCTGCTTCTCCCTCTGTTTCTCTCTGTCTCTCATGAATAAATAAATAAAATCTTTAAAAAAAAATAAAGTATTTGTGCTTTTAACCGCTTTCCTGGACAGCCTTGCAACTGAGATGTCAACCTGCTGGGGAGGAGAAGGGGGAATTCACCTGTCTGCGGGGTTTGGGGTCAGCTCTGGGGAGAAGGGAGCAGACAGGCAAGACTAACTCCCAATCAAGAATAATTAATAATAACAATAATAATAATAATAAAAAGACTATGATTTTAGAATGCTGAGATTTTGGGAGACTTAATAGTCTACAAAGTACCACTTACCAGTTTTCTAATCGCTCTGCATGGCATGTGGAGTACTTGTGATCTATCTACCTATCTACCTACCTATCATCATCTCCATCTTAATTAGGGCGGCTCTGACTCCCAGGTTCTAGGGTTTTCAGCAGGAGTCAGATGCTGCACCCCCACCTCCTCCCTCAGGGTGGCCCCAGGTCCTGCAGGTCAAGCCACAGGGGGTCATGGAGGCTTCACAGGGTGACAGGAGTGTGGGAAGTGTAGCGGGGCTGGGAAGACCCTGTCACTGAGAAATGCCTGGTGGGGTTAATCCTGTCTGCACCTGAGTGGGAGAGGAAAGGAGCCCTCCGACTAATAAGCCTTCTGGGGTCATTTGTTTGGGAGGGCCTTGTTGTAAAAGAAAACATTTAGAGAAATGTCTTCAAGAGGAAGCCACGGTGAAGAAAGAGGGCCTAGAACCGAGATCCATCCGCCCGCCCCACTGCCAACGGGGAAGCCGGGCGTCGGCCCAGGTGAGCATCCTTGCGCCGTGCTCCCCGAGGGCGGCACTCACCTGTGAGGCCCAGCAGCAGAGGCAGCAGCAGCGATGGCCGAGGCAGGCGGGGTGGGGAGGCAGGTGCGGGCATCGTGGTGGCCTGGAGCCTGCTGTCTGAATGTCGTCCCGGAGAGGTCTCGGGGACTCCACTCTGCGATGCGAGGGGAAGCTGGTGTCCCTCACGGAAGAGGAAGTGACTGTGATGGGTGGAACGAGCTGTGGGGTTTTCACAGTTTCTGCTTCTGGATTGTGAAATAGGAATCAGACCCAGCCACGAAATGACCGAGAGAAGGCTTCCAAGATGCCTGGAGGGTTGCGGCAGGGCCCCTTAAGGCCGGGGCTGTGTCCCTGGGCCCCTTGGCTCCAGGTCAGAGGCCCCGCTGGCCCTTGCTCATCCGGGCGCACAAAGGTACACGGTCCGACAGAGTGGAGGGTGTGTTCCCTGTTTGGGAACGGGGCAACATGCTGGGCTCAGGCAACTGCCCCGCTGTCCGGGAGGAAGGCTCCTGCGAATAGGACCGGGGGGCAGGGGGGGGTTGCCGTTCTGCCCACTCCAGAGGGGTCAGTGGTAAAAATGAGGCATGTCTGATGGGCGCCCCTGGCTTTGAGGGTGCACTTTCAGGGGAAGGGGCTTCCAGTGAGCCAAGAACTTTGGAGGGGGACGATGACTCCTGTTTTGGAGGAGGCCTGCGTGGAGAAAGGACGTTAGCATGTTCATCCTGCAGGGACAACAACACACCCCACACCCAGGAAGAGGAAGAGGGGTGCCTCTTCTGTTTCTCCGGCTCTGGGGGCAGCTCTGGGCAGAGGGAATGCTTGAGGAGGAGAAACCACCACATCAAAAATGCACCCCCTCTTCACCTGAACAGCAAGAGCCGGCACACAAGATGGCGTCCAGAGCCCGAGAAGCTGTGAGCTCTTCGCTTCTGTGGGACCCTGCCTTCTGTGACTTGGTTTCCCCACTGTTCCCCGGCCCTGGCCTCCATCCCAGCAGCTGACTATATGTTGGCGATGCGAAGTAGCCGAACCGAAGAGGGAGTCAGAGATGGGTTTAGATTGTTCTGTCGTAGAACATGTTTCCGCTTCCCTTGAGATACTGTTATTATTCTAGCTTTTTATTTTTTCCTCCCTGAGAGAGCTTGACTCTGGGACCCTTCACAAGGCAGAGTGTTCCCTGTGGCTCCATTATTCCAACCCACTTCCTCTTTTCAGTGGTGGCAGATTGTATTTTCCAGAGCTGACTGCAACAATATTCTTCTTCATGCTCTTGAACATGCCTCCCATTGAGAAGTGGGTAAATATTCCTTCCGCGTGGGCAGGCTTATGCACATGATGTGACGTCACTTCCAAGGCTAGACCATAAAACTTCCCTGTACTTCTACCCTGCTGTCTTGGGCTGCTCCTTTTTGGAATCTTGCCACCAGGCTAGGAGGAAGCCCAAACTAGCACACAGACAGAGACCACACCGTAGGAATGCACGTAGGAGTTCTAGCTGAAAGCCCAGTGAAGGGTCCAGCCAGTAGCCAGCATCAATCACTGGACATGTAAAATGAAGAAGCATCTGGATGGTTCCAGACCCTAGAAGTTGTCACCCCTAGCTGAGGCCCTAGACATCATACAGAGGAGACAAGCCATTTTTGTGCCCTGTCTCAATTTCTGATCGTGGTATCACTGATCATAATGAAATGGTTGTTGGGGCGCCTGGGTGGCTCAGTCAGTTAAGCATCTGCCTTTGGCTCTGGTCATGATCTCAGGGCCCTGGGATCGAGCCCCACGTCGGGCTCCCTGCTCAGCAGAGAGCCTGCTTCTCTCTTTCTCTCTCCCTCTGTCTCTCCCTCTGCTCGTGCTCTCTCAAATAAATAAATATTTTAAAAAATAATGAAATGGTTGTTTACTACCCCTAAGTTTTGGGGTGTTTTGTTACATGGCAAGAGTGACTCCAACACTGCCCTTGGCAACCTTGTTCCCCTCCCCACTCATTAGTGTCTACCTCTTTTACTGGCCTTGGTCCTTGCTGGCAGGGACCATTGAACCTGGCCTTAGGAGACAGGCTTAGGGGCCCAAAGGACCTTGGTTGGAATCCTGGACCCACCTGGTCCCTGCATGATCGTGGCCAAGTCATCCACGTGCCCGTATCATACTGTCTGCTTAGCACCTGCAAACCGTTCTCATCACTCACCTCCCCATCAGGCTCTCCGTCTGTGTCCTCATTTCAGTGTCTGACACCCCCAGTGAGCCACTTAGTCCAGCCGGAGACGTTGGTGTCATTTTTGATGACCCCCCCTCCCCCGACGTCCTTTCATCTAAACACATCTTAAATCCTCCTGTGTCTGTCTCTCCACTGTCACATCTGCTTGGCTAGCCTGTGAGTTCGCCTCCCCCTCTGTTCCCCTGTTGCATGCGGTCTTCTCATCACACTGGGGCCAGAGTGCGATTTTTATTTTTTATTTTTTATTTTATTTTATTTTTAGATTTTATTTTTTATTTATTTATTTGAGAGAGAGAGAATGAGAGAGAGCACATGGGAGGGGTGAGGGTCAGAGGGAGAAGCAGACCCCCCCGCCGAGCAGGGAGCCCAATGCGGGACTCGATCCCGGGAATCCAGGATCATGACCTGAGCCGAAGGCAGTCGCTTAACCGACTGAGCCACCCAGGCGCCCCAGAGTGCGATTTTTAAACGAGACTTCTGATCTTGTCATTCTCTTTAAAAGGCTTCTCAGGGCTCTTATGGTCACATGGGATTCCCCTCATGTGCCTGACTGATCTAACTGCTCTGTCAGACTCACCCCCTAGCTCTTCCCTCAGGTTTGGGCCCAGCTGCCCTGGCCTTTCACAGGGACTCAGGCCCCACACTCCTCTGTTCGGTATACTGGGGATGTCCACCCACTTCTCCTCTTCATTATGGATAAACCCAGAGCACCCTGAATTACCTGTCAGAACTTGTAATCATGTATTTATTTTCACTGTCTGTCTTGCCCACTAGAGCATATGCCTCCGAGAGAGCGGGGGTTGGGTCCGCTCTGTCTCCCACTGAGAATACCCAACAGGTGTTGTTAAACTCAGGAGGGAATGGTGGATTCGTGGTAGGTATGTGTGCCGTGACCCCAGGTGTCGGCCTCTGGTCTGGTTCTTCCCAGAAGCACTAGGGCCACAGGATCCCGACCTTCTCTGGTATCTTAGAGCTGCTTTCTCCTCCCTTTGTTCCTTCTTGGGCTCCTCCATCCCTGGAAACCCTTTGGAGCCTGACACTCACTGTCAGTGATGGCTTCACAGCCGCCTCATTCTTGACCCCCCTGGTCAGGGCTGGGCTCTCCTTCTGGTGTTGGAAGCTCCCCTGGGTGGATGTTACCAGGGAACAAAAAGGCAGACTTCTTGGGTCTCTACTTTGGTGCCTAGCTCTCCTGGTAGGTATCACAGAAAGGAAAGGGGGTAAGCCTTATGCCTGTGGGGTGCAATAAATCTTGGAGTATTAACACAGAAGACCCCACCAAAAATTTCTACGCAACGTATATACAGACCATTCCCCAAGCCCCCATGAGGATTAGCCCGTGAGACTCAGGCACCATTAGTCAGGGTGAAGTTGGCACAGGTGAGAACAAAGAGGTGTTTGAGTTCCTGGGTGGGTTTTTTAAGCTCAAAGCCAAGGCAGTAGAATGTAGAGCTAAGGCTTTTGAATGTGATAAACAAGTGACTTGTGGAGAACAGTTTTTGATTTCTAACCATTTTACATCGAAAAAAGTAACCAAAGTTCTTAGAAACAAATTTTTTTTTATTTTTAAAGATTTTGTTTATTTATTTGACAGAGAGACACAACAAGAAAGGGAACACAAGAAGGGGGAGTGGGAGAGGGAGAAGCAGGCTTCCCGCGGAGCAGGGAGCCCGATGCAGGGCTTGATCCCAGGACCCGGGATCATGACCTGAGCCGAAGGCAGTTGCTTAACAACTGAGCCACCCAGGTGCCCCAGGAGCCATTTTAGAAACTGTCTACCACATACGTCAAAATTCTTGGAATGATTCTTGATCTTCTTTTCCCTCATACCTCATGTCCAAGTCACACTCCACGTCTTATTATCTCTATGTTCACAACAGACCCGGAATCCAGTCACTCCCCACCACCTCCAAGGTACCGCCTTGGTCCATGTCAGTGTCTACTCACCTGGATTATTGCTATAGTCTCCTAACTCTGGTCTCCCTGCTCCCACCCGTGCACACCTCCGCCTCTTCCCCTCAGAGCGGCGAAGGATCCCATTACTCTGCAAACCCGTCAGTGCTTGCCGATCTCAAGGAAAGCCAAGGGGAGTCCATGATGCCCTACCAGCCCCTGTCCGAGCTGCCCCGCCCCCATCTCCAGTCATGTTCCCACCTACACACTGGGCTCTTGCCACTGTGGACCCTTGACCTTCACAATTCCCCTCAGGAACTCTGCCTTTGCTCTCCTCTCTTCATGGAACACTCTTCTCCAGGCAGCTTCATAACCACTCCTTCGCTTCTTTCAAATATCTCCCCAACATCGTGTTATTTTTTAGAAGATTATGACTGTCTTTTAAAGATTTTTTATTTATTTATTTGAGACAGAGAGAATGAGAGAGAGCACATGAGAGGGGGGAGGGTCAGAGGGAGAAGCAAGCTCCTTGCTGAGCAGGGAGCCCGATGCGAGACTCGATCCAGGGACTCCAGGATCATGACCTGAGCCAAAGGCAGTCGCTTAACCGACTGAGCCACCCAGGCGCCCGAAGATTATGACTGTCTTAGGCACGCCTGGCTGGCTCAGTCAGTGGGGCATGCAACCCTTGATCTCGGGTTTGTGAGTTCAAGCCCCATGTTGGGTATAGAGTAATAATAATTAAAAAAAAAAAAAAAAAAGACTCTGACTGCCCTGTATAAACCATCTTCTCGCAAGGCGAGCATCCCCTTCCCCAATACACAGTCATATGCTTCGTGTAGCACTCTTTTTTTTTTTTTTAAGATTTTATTTATTTTTTTGAGAGAGAGAGAAAGCATGAGGTGGGGAGGGTCAGAGGGAGAAGCAGACTCCCTGCCGAGCAGGGAGCCCGTCGCGGGACTCGATCCCGGGACTCCAGGATCATGACCTGAGCTGAAGGCAGTCGCTTAACCAACTGAGCCACCCAGGCACCCCTCGTGTAGCACTCTTACCATCAGACAGTCT